TTGATCTTTCAGATGCCATCAAATCCCCTAATAAATAGCCTCATTGAATTCCCATTCATGGCACTTACAATGTTGTAAGTTTATATTTAATAAACATTTGACTTCCATGTCTGCCTTTCTCCATGTTGAGTTCCATGACAGCTGGCACTGTGGCTATTTTGTGCTCACCATTGTCTTGCAGGATGCCTGGCACATAGTGGTAGCTCAGTGAATATTGCCCAATGAGTGAACAGGTGAATGCATGCAGCTCATTCCTGTTCCTCCATCTGCAGGGTTGCCTCCCTGGTAGAAAATAACTTACTGACTTGGGGCCAAAAGCCCTACTTAATAAGAACGATTTTGCTCACTCTTCACCTCTCTCAGGAACCTACAGTGGTCACAGACATATTTTTAAGTAAAAGGAAGCAAAACGAAGTGAATTCTTTATAACATAAAATTTTTCAATTTAAAGGGCTGACATTAATCTGATGGTATCTCCTGATTTTCTTGGCATTAAAATGTCTTTTGTTTCATAAAATGATAATATTAAATAGTTGCTTTAATGGATTACTTAATTAGCAAAATGAACATTTGGCCACTCTTTGAAGGCCGCTAGACAGGCTGGACTCACTGTTATTGCTCTGATTACATAGCCTTGTCCTCTTCCAGGCCTTATGACTTTGCTGGCTCAATTCATTCAAAAAGGATTGGCTTAAAAACTGCGTGCTCCTAAAAATATGCTCTGACTCTGGAGACTTTAATCTCTCTGTAATAGACACCTGTTATGTTTGTCACTTTTCTTCAGAACGCTTATTGTATGTGGTTTTTTGTTGTTGTTGTTATTTTGAGATGGAGTCTCTCTCTGTCACCCAGGTTGGAGTACAGTGGCATAATCTTGACTCACTGCAACCTCTGCCTCCCAGGTTCAAGCAATTCTCCTGCCTCAACCTCCCAAGTAGATGGGATTATAGGCGTACACCACCACACCTGGCTAATATTTGGACTTTTAGTAAAAATGGGGTTTCACCGTGTTGGCTAGGCTGGTTTCAAACTTCTGATGTCAGGTGATCTGCCCGCCTCAGCCTCCCAAAGTGCTAGGATTACGGGCGTAAGCCACCATGCCCGGCCTCCCTGTACGTGTTTCTGCTAAGTCAGGGCGAGTCTCTTCCATTTCGGTAGACTCTAAACTCTACCAGCACAAGGATGGTGCCTATCTTTTGTGCCAATGAATCCTAAGGCTATTCCTGGAGCATAGTAGCTGCCTAATAAAAATAGTTGCTAAGTAAACAAATGAATGCATGCCACAGCAATTAGCAAAAAGGGCTAATTTCTTTTTTTGCCTCAGTTATCTTGAATTCTACACAAAGCACCCTCCTCTAATTCCCAGCCTCATCTTCCTTGGAAATGACAATACACAGGTGAGTCAATGATGGGGTAAGCTCATGGTTCCTTCCTGCCTGTCCTTCTGTCTTATCACACCAGTATATTAAGAAGGGAAGGGAGGACTAGACAGAAGTTTTATGTGCACTGGTTTCACATCATCTCAGCCATTTCTCATGAAAAGTCTCATGACTTGTCACTTTATTAACCTCATTTTATTTATGAATAAATTGAGGCTTAAAGTGGTTAAATCACCTCATCACTCAAATTTACAAAGCTGTGTAGGACAAGGCTGGTATTAGAGCTCAGCTACCTCAGCTTGAAAACTCGTGCTAATTTTCACCCTGTTGTATGTGGTCTTCACTGTCCCCATGAGAGAGGCACCTCATCCTCATCTGCTCTTATTTTATGCAGAAGAAGGGGGAAAGCTGATTCACCCTTCCTGGGTGCTGCCCTGGAAACTGGCACCCAGGGTTCCTCACTATGGGAGCAGGCACCCATTGGCACCAGTTCCCACTCCGTCAGTAGGAAATCATGACTACATTGCTAGGAAAATGAAACAATGCACGTTATACAAGATCCATAGTGACGCTGAGAAATGAGGGCCTGCCACAACCACTGTACAGCCAGATTTGTATGCCTGCCAGCCACAGCACAAATGGCCCCTCTCACGTTTGTCTCTGAAAACAGGGAACTCTAATTGTGGTGCATAATGAACACGCAGACATCAAAGAGCAGCGTGTGGAGCCCACCAGGAGCTTCAACCATGGGCCTGGATGGAGGCAAGGTCCAGGGACTTGACAGCAAGCCCAGCTGCTCTGAGCCAGAAGGGCTCTAGAGGCTACCTGGCAGCCAGGTGACATTCTCACCAACAGCCCTGCTGACTCAGGTCTCTTCGGAAAACTTTGACTTGAAGCTTCCTGTTTCCTAAATGGCCCATCATTGCACACTCTGGTCAGTGTTACCCAAAATGTGAGATCCACCTCTAAAAAGATCTTACATTGCACATATGAAACATTAAATGATGTTAATTGTCACAGAGTGAAAGTCACATCCTCAGTTTGCTTTCATTTCTTCAGATGTCAAGGAGGAGACCGCAGCAATCTCTGTTCGCTGTCTTGAACACCTAATGCTTTCTTTTTTCCTTTTTTCTTTCTTTCTTTTTTTTTTTTTTGAGATGAACTCTCTTACTGTTGCCCAAGCTGGAGTGCAGTGGCACAATCGTGGCTCACTGCAACCTCTGCCTCCCGGGTTCAAGCGATTCTCCTGCCTCAGCCTCCCAAGTACCAAAGTAGACTGGAAATAAACCAGCAGGCACTGCCACCATGCCCTAGCTAATTTTGTGTTTTTACTAGAGACACGGGGGTTTCACCCATGTTGCCAGGCCTGGGTCTTGAACCCTCCGCTGCCCGTCATGATCACCCCACCAGTCCGGCCTGAAACCCCCAAAAGCTGCAGGGAATTAGAAAGGCATGAGCCACCAACCGCCTGGCCCCCATACATGCTTTCTAAATTTCTTTTTGTATCAACAAAGAGGAGTAGTAGACGCCTCAGGACCTGACCTTATAGCACCATGAAAGTATAACCAGCTCGGAAGATGGCCATAATGCGTAGTTTTCTTTTCCGTCCTTATTTATTTGTCCGCCTGCCCTTATTTCACTGAACGGATGATACTTATTTCCATTTTGGGTAATGATGTAAAATCTCACTTCCTTTATAATGACAATTTCGGATCTTTCTGTATTCTAATGAGAAAGTCGAGAGGCGAGAGAGAGAGAGAGGGACCCAAAAACATAAGCACGGACTTTCTCCTGGCACCCAGGCAGTGAAGCGGCCAGCGCAAAAATGTCCCAGATTTGGAGCCTCCTAAGACTTCTGATTATTTCTGAGTGGTCATTCTGATATTGGCTAACTTTGCCTCCCTTAAGCTTCTTCCACGTACCTAGTACGGCAATCAGCAGGGTTTCACTGTTTATCAGCTCACTTCAGTAAACATAAGGTTCTGAATTAAAAGAATATTAAATTATATTCCCCTAAGAGACTGAGCCTCTCAACCCACCCAAATAAGTCACATCCTCCACTTCAACTATTATTGTTATTACCATTCAGAGTGCTTCTAGTAGTCATCATAAACAGCACTCTGGCCTTACTCTTCTTACCTGAAAATACATAGAGTTTTCAAGTTTCCCTCTTAAAAAGACTGTGTAGAAATTGAATACAAAACACCCAGTAGTTGCCCAGAGCACTGAGCATCAAATCAGCCTTCTCCTCTCCTTTAATCCTAGTCCATTTCCCATTTAAAATACGCTATGCTGTTACATTAAGCGTCTTTATTTCTTTGTTTAGAGTCCATAAAAAATGTCATTGAATACCACAACGCCATTCGCAGAGAAAAATAATTCCATAAGATTCCCCCCATTTTGACCGCTTCCCATAGATATAAGAGCTCCTTGTCCAACAACTTAACATACGGTCACGCACACCAACCGCAAGCATACCCATGTCAGAATGAACAAAAAAGCAGTGGTCCTGGCCCTCCCTGGTAGCTGGCCAAGCTTGATCATCGTACGCTGCTATGGACGCCATGGGCGCCCCTCAAATTGCTGGCAAATTCATCCTTCCACAAAAGAGTTACACCCCACCCAAGGTAGTTTAGGTGCAGATGACAGCAAAGTATTTGACCTTGTAATCTATAAAGGATGTTACCTGGAGAACTCTAAATAAAAAAACATCTATCAATTAAATATCTGTAATAGAACAAAAAATGCCAATCCAAACGGTTTTTCATATACATACGAAGCAATAGAAGAGCCCACATCAGATCAGTCATCCGACAACTTCCTAGCACGGGAAAACCTC